AGTTTCTATTCTGTTTAATTTTATTTCCTACATTCAATTCATAGTCAATTACTATTTGATATTTGGATACAAATAAAGACAAAATACATATTCATGTTTCATTTGTATGAAATTAGTTTTTAGTGCTTGGAATCTTTAGAAATGAATATTTTACTCTTTAATTCACACCAAAAAAGGGAAACTTCATCCTCTGAAATAATAAATTTTATATCATAAAGTAATAGCTAACATTATGATTTTCTTGTTGCAAGCTTCACAATTGCTTACTAAAATCAATATCATACAATTTTATACATCTTACAATGTAAGAGTAATTATACTATATATTTAACGATTATTTTAAAATAGATTTAATAGATTTTAATTTGAAATTCATTATTTTGTTGATGGAAGAAAGCTGATTATATATTTCTCTTTTTCCTCGCTAAAGAATTAAATAAATCGTAAATTTAAATCTATGAATGAATTCTATAATTTGCTTTTGTCTCATATTTAGCCCATTGAGTTTCATTCTCAACCATCCTAATTTAGTGTCCACTATACATTTATTCCTATTTTCCTGAATTGTCAGATAACATGTTTTTTTTATTCTACAATAAAGCCAATTAACTTAAATAGTGAACACAATTAATCAAATTATTGTTTTCTTTTAAATCTGTGAAAAAGACAATATTATTAATGAAATCTAAATTAATACTTTGTCTGTTTAGAAAAATGATTAGCTATAACAGTATTTAGTATAATCTTAAGTTCTTATTGAAGTCTTAAGTCTTTTTAAATGGTAAAGATATTTTTGATATTTATAACGTTGATCAATACTTGTGATGAGAAATTGATAATGTTGAAAGGGTAATTCAATTATTAAGTATTTAACATAAAAAAAAAATATGCTTTGGTTAGTAGATCATAAGCCTTAGAAGGATATGATTGATACTCAAAGATATTATAAATCCAATTATTCTTCATTTTCAACAATATCAAATATTAAGGAAAAGGAGATAATACATGATGGTTATTTCGGAAAATCTTATCATAATAAAATTTGAAGTTTTAGATATTTTTTAGGCTTTTCGAAATAGTAAAATCGCAGAGTTAAATGTGCATCAGCAAAACTAAAGTTTAATGCATTAGGTAGTAAATTACAAAGTTTAAAATGATATGACTTATCCTTTACCAACAACTATAGAATGATATTTAACCTGTTTAGTATAATGAATTAGCACAATCTCAAGTTATTCCTCAAATTCTTCAGTTTAAGAGAAAGTTACAACAATTATTAATATTTCTAAAAAGAGGAGTATTTAATACGAAAGAAAGGAGATATAATATAAATCCATAATTATTCCCTAATTTACTCAATCTTAGACAAAATCTTATTTTTTTAAATTAAGGAATTTTTTGAAAATGCTCTGTTCATATCATTCAAAAGAAATTATTCATTTGATAGAATTATTAATAATTTTACTATAAGGTAAACAAAATTGAGAATAGATTGGATGATTGCTAGAAAACGAAATGATTAAAAATGTGCATTTATTTTAAATATCATTATTCCATTTCATAATTATAGTGCACTAAATTCCTTATCTTCTATTCAACTCTAATGCCAATAGATGATAAGCATCATTATTATAGAAAGCAATATGTGCATCTAATTCTAAATTCAAATATTAATTCTAAAGGCAGATGGAATGTCATATTATATGTCTCTAAGGAAAATCGATTTATATTGAGGTAATAATAATTTTCAGGTAAAGTTTATTATTTTTTAATCTTTAAATCATACAATAAATGGATTAAAATATAGAATTATTAGAAATATATTGGCCAATAGCCTATAGATACATCCAAATCCATATCCATATCCTAAATCAAGCATTAAATTGATTTAAGTTAAGATAGTTGCTTGAAGATGGTCTAAATAAGTATGCAAACGCACTCCAAGCATCATTGAAAT